CAAACTTAATCAGCTCGAATTACATTGCGATGTCGTTGTTGTATTGCAGTATATCTTTGGGAGGTGAATCAGGGAGTCTAGATCAAGATGGTTCTCGGCATACAGCTTGATGTCATCCATGTAGAGGAGGTGGCTGATTGTTGTTCCACTTCTGAAGAGAGAGAGGAGAACTTCTTGATGTTTTTTCGGGTTTAGTGAACTTACATCTCGCCCATCTACGGTATAAAGGTGCTGGCAGGGGTAGAAGGATTATACGACTTGTATTGTCATACATGAGTGCATTTTCTTTTCTAAGTGTGCATGTGTGTATAAATATGCATTTATGTGTACTACATCTGTTTAAATGTACATACAGTACTGTATACTGCTGTATTGCACTGTATTGTCTATATACAGTAATTATTGTCAACTCAATTGTCAAATGTTTTCTTGAGATTCTAATAAATTCAGTTTTTTATTTTTTTCAAAATATAGGGCCAAAATGGCCGTTGAATTCAAGTGCATTTATGACATGCATCCATCCATTTTGCGAACTGCTTCTCCTCACTAGGGATGCAGGCGTGCTGGAGCCTATCCCAGCTCTCTTCGGGGGACACCATAAACTGGCGCCAGGAACACATAAGTTAAACAACCATTCACACTCATAATCACACCTATGTACAATTTAGAGTGTTTATTTTAACCTACCTTGTGTTACGATCTGGAACAGTCTGGATAGGGGTGGATCCCACAAACGATAAGGTCTTGGCACATTTATTAACAAAACACAAGACCGACAAAGTCCAACTCGGGTCTATTGCCCAAATTTAGCTGGGATGGACGTCAGCTCAATGAGGGCAAGTAGTATTGAAACTTGATGGATGGATGTAATGGAATTAATTCAATTTTTCCAATTACCGGTAATCTTTTTTCTTGCCATTGTGGTCCTATAGAATACAGTTTGATTCATTATTCATGTATGTAAAAGGATTTCAAAATGATGATTTACTTTGTGGATAATAGGAGCCCGCATCCTGCATAAGCCCACGGTTTTAGCTTGGAAAAAGTGTCGTCATATTTTATTCAAGGGCCATTTGTGGAAGTAATATTCATAAAGATTCATGGTTTCACATGAAAAAAAAAAAAAAAACGTAACGATCAACTTTCACGTTACTCATTGCATATTGAGTTGCAATCTGCAATAGTTAGGCCAGCCACGTTCCCACCTATTTTTACTACACTGCAATACTTCAAGACATCATCTCATGAAAAATACTTTATCACTAAGGCAAGAAAGATGTTTTGGTTTTATTAATCTATAAATCCGTTTGGAGAAATTCGAAAGAAATAAAGGGGACAGAAGGAGGCGAAATAATAACAGCAGCAAGGACTGTGTTGTATCACTAATCTTGGCAGGTTGACTCCACCCTTTTTGTCTGGTTGTGTTCTGTCAGATGTCCAGGAAAGCCACTTCACCTTTCTGCAAATCACTGCAGCTGCATACGCAAGCATCTGAGAACCCGGATATATATATTTTGCATGCTGAAAAGAAGTTTTATGCAACTTTTTCAAGGCTGAATAACCCATTCTGAAGAGATTAAAAAAATTGTTTTGGGGACTCTAATTGGATTTAATTACAAACAAGCCATGACGTTAATGTTCACCTGACGGATAACAGCGCAGTCACTCTCAGATACAATTTACATTCTCAACGGATCGCAAATCAACAGGTAAGTGCATTTCGAATCCATGTGCTGCATACATCGATGTAGTCCAGAAACTTGTGTGATGAGATACACAAACATTGCAAATGTGAATCTTTTGTTCAACTATTGTTGAACACTTTAATTTCATTCATGATTTATGTGTTAGGCTGGTGGACCTTTGTTTGCTTTGGCAATGCATTTCAAATGGTTTGTACCTTTCCAGTTATTGAGCTATTCATGCATTGGAAGATGAAATAAATGACAATGTTTTTGTGATTACTTTGAACACGTTTTGCAAGTGTTTTGACATTTTTAGGTAATTTATTGATTAATGCTCTGTGTATAGCAAACACAATCTAACCTGCAAAGGAAAACATTTCTCTCATCTTTTTTTTTTTTTTTTTTAAACAACACAACTATCATTTGTTTTAGCATTCTTATTTTCAGGGCAGTACTAGTTCTATAGAAACCGATTGACAAAATCTCAAATTGGTAATCTCCTGCATTACATTCACAGCACACCTTGGTGGCACCTTGACTTTCCCCCGGGAAGCCCCTCTTCAATTACGTAACACAATTAGTTGCGTGCTGGAGGTGCTAATTTTATCCTCTTGAAAAGATTTAAGTCTCATTAACGCTGTAGCACTGCGTATCAGACAGACGTGATTGGCTTGTCACTTCTCTCTTTAACGTAAATGTTCCTTCAAATCATGTTGCACAGAAAATTCTTCAATCTCATGATTTGATATTTAAATAAACCTTCACTAGCCAGCACAGTGTTTACAAAGTCCTTATTATGCCATTCTTTCCAACTTTTCTTTTCCTACTTACTATAAGCAAATATTTTGTGAGGTGAAATGTTGCCTTCCATTTTACCTTTTCAGATCCAAATAAATAGTGTCCATATTGTCATTTCTGTCAGAAGTAATAACCCAGGTGTTAAAGTCAAGAAAGTCAAGCGTCTCAGTGACACGAGCTTTGTTACATAATCATGAACGTCTGTACTCTACAGTAGATTTAAAGGCCTCACAGGGAAGAGCTGATCTTTAAGTCCAAGAGGCTTTACGAGAAACCATAACAAAGCAACATGTTGCATCAGTGGTATGATGAAGCGGCATGAGGAAAAGCTTGGGTCAGCAGTAATCGGTGAGATTTGGAAGCAACAGAATGACCATAAACAGACACGTAAGAACTTTAAAGTGGGCAGAAATAAGAAAACTGTACTTCTAGATGTTTATGAAATAAAGTTTTTATTCCCTCCGGCAGGTTGTTTTTATTCCTTGGTTGGATCGTGGAAACACTGATGAATCCATTTTTACAAAGCTTTTGGGCGAGACTGGTTATGGGTCAAGGAGAGAATAAACCATTGTGATACAATACAGTCAAAGCAACGTTTTGTTCGAGATAACTAACAAACACTTATTGGAAATACTGTAGGACACATTGTATTCAAAATCAATGTAATGTAATGTAACGGGTTGTTGCTTTTACACAAAGATAAGAAAAAAAAAGGTAATATATGTGTTGTCTCCCCAAAGACAGCTAGGATTGACACGAGCATGCCCACGCCCATCATAAGGAGAGGCGGCTCAGATCATAGATGGATGAACACTGCTTCATTTTGATTTTGAGTGAATCACATACTATTTTGCGTAACTAGTATCATCGTTCCTAAGAATTATCGTAAAGCATGGAGTCAACTTAGAACTGTGTTTCGATCCCAGGATGATTGGATTGCATTCCACAGCTCTTCAACATTTTTGGAAGAGCATGTGAATCCAAGCTATCGGCAACAAGCTGTCTCAAAGTACACTTGCAAAGAAAACAAGATGCGCTGAAGTGATTACATTTTGCAACACATTGGCTTGCATTCAGAGAAACAGCGCAACATTTTGTGCACTGAAGAAAGGCAGACTGTTCTTCTGGGGACAGTTAGTCAGACAAATTCAAACACCCAAACAGTGAATTTTAGCCAGAATACACTGTGTAAACACTGTGAAGTATGGTGCACAAGCACCATGATATGGCAATGTTTCTGAAACAATAGTATTCAGCTCATTTATCGCATATGAATCGTGGGTCAGTTAGATTTCACCTCAGTACTTTAAAGAAGTCATGTTGCCTTGTACCCAAGACAGCCCAATATAAAATGGGTCTTTCAACAGAAAAAAAAACCTAAACAAAAGAGTAAATCAGCAACATATTGGTTTCAGACATACAAAATTCACATTATGAAGGAAACTGCCAAATCCCCAGACTTTAATGGAATGGAGAACTTTGAGGGGCGACGTAAAAATGCTGTTTCTGAAGCTAAACTAGAAATGCAGAGAAACTGTGGAATGGTGTAAAACCATTCTGGGCTCTAATACCAGTTCACAGGTTCCGGGAAATTGGTCAACTACACGGTGCGAGCTTTTAGTTTGAAAAATCAAGACAATGTTATTTTGTTTGCATTAGTGTTTTTGGAAATTCAAGCCATTATAATGATTTTGGAATTTTATCTCTCTAGCTAGCTAGCAAGCTAGATAGATAACTGGATATTTAACTAACTAACGAGATAGATAGATAGACAGATATCAACACATTTGTTATTCTGAACACAACTTTCGGTGAAGCTCTGGATGACCGTTCAGATACAGAATCTATTCATGTCTGTTTATATTTAGGAATGACATAGCTTTTAAATAAGTATGCAGGCGGTGTTTGGTGAAAAGTGTTTTCATTGCTATTAAATGTGTTTTGCATTTGATATTTTAGTACAATCAAAAGAGGAATTAAAGGATCTCCAGAAAACACTTTTTTTTTGTTCATCTATCATTACAGGAAACGATTGGCAACATTATTGTAAACATTAAATATCACAGCATATGGTCAAACTTAAAATGCTTTCAGTCACGAGTGCATGAACTTCTTTAGCCTCCTAAAAGACAAACAATTTAACTGTAGACCTTGGCACTCATGGTGCTGCTTCTGAGCCTGGCGACAGCCATGCAATGAATTTCCAAGTAGAAGGTTGATTATGTGTGATATTGCTCTTATCCGAGTGCTAACCTCATTGACTGAAAACAATTGTGCATCAAGCGGGCGTAGAACCTTATGAGTGCCAAAGGTAAATAGTCGCCTCTGCAATTTTCTCACTTTTGGACAAGGCCACGAAAAAGGGCTTCATTTTTTTTTCTAATTTTATTTACATATATTGAAATATGTTTACTTAATTCGCCAAATGTGAAAGTAAATGTCAAACAGTTGATATCTGCTTTCACCATGCTGTGAGGAAAACTTTTCCTTGTTTTCTTCTGTCACAGTGCCAACAAGATGCAGAAGCAAGTGGAGGTCAGGATAGACGAAGGCCATTTGGAGCCCACAGTGGACGCAACTGAGAGTGCATGTAGCACTGTATGTGATAAAATCATGAAGAACATGGTTCTAACGCTGACAATTCTTGGTGAGTTTAAGGTCATATTATCATTGATTGTCTCCTAGCTGAGAAACAAAACCCAGAAGAAGATTGTTTTAATGGCACTTGCAGTGCCCAGTGGTGACCTTGGCAGTAGCTGTATGACTCCTCAGTGTCTTCAGTAATGGAAGTGAGGCAACAGAGACCCGATACTGACGTGTTAACTGTCATAGTCACTTCTTTTCTTATGTCATCGATTCAGGTGTGTTTCTGGGTTCCATTGCTGGAATGCTGCTGCGGCACATATCGCCTCTCCCTCCTGATGTGATTATGATCATAAGCTTCCCGGGAGAGATCCTAATGAGGATGTTGAAGATGCTTATTTTGCCTCTTGTTGTTTCAAGTCTGGTCACAGGTGGGTAAAAGAAAGTGGCGGTTGCAAATGCGCTGCCTAATTTGTGTGTTCCTGACTGCAATCTGCACCCTAGAGTCCGGAACCTGGAGGTGAAACAGAGAACACCAGGATAAAGAGCTTGAGTTTATAAAAAAGTCTTTTTAATGCTTCAATATCACGAACAATGAAACAGTGAAATAATGAATTAGGGCTTTGAGAATATTGCCAGCTCACAATGCAAATTAAAATCCTATTTGTATAATTGCACTTTGTTTCAAAAAAAAAAAAAAAGAATAAAATGCACAAATCTGCATTTGTAGCCTAATGGAAAAATTAACATTTTATGAACTCATATTTTCACTGAAATATACAGTAGATAAGGGCTAAAAAGGGCTTTAAGAACAAAAAAAAGTTTCAGTTTTGCTAATAGGGATATTGACATAAAATGTTATCATTTAAAAAATGCGCGTATGTGTGCCCCCATCTGCACAAGAAATGTGGTTTGTTATTAGACTTATGTTCTTGTCGCAGATTATCTATAATGAACATCATGTTCAAACACATATGTGCGCACATGCACTTAGCACCAGGACACCCTAGGCAACAGTTTTGAGGATCGACTTTGCGGTGTCATCACACTTGCAGTTACATGTCTTGAAAACTAGGTTGAAATGAGGGGCGTTGCTGTCAACCCATCCCCACCTCATGATGTGTGGTCTCCGATAGTGGGGGGAGACTCAAACGTATTGTGAGGGTCTGCTGGGAACATCTGGCAGAGTCCACTGTCTGGCAAGACTTGCGCCATGTCCTGGGGGCTGCATTGGACATTGACTCCGAGTGGACCATGTTCTGTCGTGGATGCAGTCCCCTGAAACCATTAGTGGACACCGGCAGTGAGGGATGTGGTCAGGATGAAGGGGTCCTATCTGGTCTTTTGAGCATGTGGCACTCTGGAGACAGCCAAAGGGCTTGGCAGGCCAAGTGTAATACCGCTTTGGAGGTAGCTGAGGCAAAAACTCGGATGTCTGAGGCGTTCAGAAAGCTCTGTAGAATGAATTCCCGACAGTTTTATCTCAAATTCTGCTTCACCAGCCGACGACTCAGGAGGGGGAAAGTGCCATCAACACTGTGAACAGTGGGGACAGGGTGCTGCTGACCTTGACTAGGGATGTTGTGAGTTGGTAGGGAGAATACTGAAATTACTAAGTGGAGGAAGTGCTTTTTTGCTTGGGGTTGGTACGCCCGCGACCCGACCCCAGCTACGTGAGAGGAAACGAATGGACGAATAATCATTGGAAAGTTCTATTGTAATTACATTCACGTCATACCATCAGTATATTAAAATGAGACATAAGTAGCTGAAAAGTGACTCTGCTTCACACTTATTTTAATATTCTTCTGAAATCTTTGCTATCACAGGACTGGCTGGCTTAGATGCGAAATCTAGTGGGCGTTTAGGCACCAGAGCCATGGTGTACTACATGACAACAACAGTCATCGCAGCAGTCTTGGGGGTGATCTTAGTGCTGCTCATCCATCCCGGGAACCCCAAGCTAAGAGCTAATCTTGGACAGGGGAAGAAGAACGATGACGTTTCCAGTGTGGATGCCTTCTTTGACCTCATTCGAAATCTGTTCCCAGAAAACTTGGTGCAAGCCTGCTTCCAACAGGTACATTTCCGAACCCTTCATGTTTTCTTTGCCGTCAAGGGCCCTGGAATTTAGATACACAATGCATAACTCATCTCTTCATCCTTCCAACGGCTGTTCTGTATTTCTGGCGCAGATACAAACAGTGACTACAAAAGTACAGGTGCCCACTAACAGAACCAAAGCACCCCCGCAGTTCACCATCAAGAGGTCACTTCAGTTCAAGAGTGGAATGAATGTCCTTGGTAGGCTATTGATCCTATTCCAGACAAAAATAGTGCTAAGGCTACTTTGATTCCATTGTGGGTGTGTGACTTAAGTTTTCAATTGCACTTATGTTTTGACTCCAAGGTTTAATTGGATTCTTTGTCGCTTTCGGAGTCATCATGGGGAAAATGGGGGAGAAAGCCAAGCTTATGCTTGAGTTCTTTAACGTCTTGAATGAGATCATAATGAGGATTGTTAGTGCAATTATGTGGTAAGTGTACTGCTCAAAAAAAGCCAGAAACAGGAACTGTTCACAATATGCATGTGGATGCACCTCCATTCAAAAAATTCTTCTTCTTCTTGGGTTTCAGGTACTCGCCAATTGGAATTGCTTGCCTGATCTGTGGTAAAATCATCTCCATTGCTGACTTAGAGGTGGTTGCTCGACAGCTTGGAATGTACATGATCACTGTGATAGTGGGCCTCATCATCCATGGCGGCATCTTCCTTCCTCTCATATATTTTGTGATTGTCAAACAAAATCCTTTCAAGTTCTTCATGGGAATGTTCCAGGCTTGGGTCACGGCACTTGGAACGGCATCCAGGTAGTAGAACAATTGTGTTTTTCAAAAAAGCTTCAAGCGGCCTGACACTGGCTAGCACACGGGTCGTCTGTTATTCAGGATTTTGAAAACTGTTTTCCGAAGGACCTCGTTTCCAAGGCTACATAGCAAATAACAACAGGAACTTTGATTTGAAGCCGTAACTGAAATATTCATGCCAGCAGCAACTTCCAACTTTGTTTCCATGCGGGATAGTTTTCATTTACTCTCTGTTTTATTAATGACATGCGATGCCCTCATTCCCCTCCTGAGGTGAACTCGTTCCTTTTAAGTTCCTGCCAGCTCGCTGCTCCACCATCTACAAGAAGTACTAATTGTCAGACAAAAGAAACAATGCACTGTTGAGTCACAGCTGATATTTTTTTCTCTTCATGCACCCTTTCTCGAATGATTTTAGTCTCATTAAAGTTGCCGTCTGTACTAGCTTTCATATCACACACACACCAAAATAATAATAAATGAGAATACTCTCGAATAATATTTGTTTGTGAGAAGGGAGAAACATGGTGAATGTGATTGAAAACCTCACAACAATTACGACCCAATTGCATTAGTTACACAACCCAAAAAATGAAATAGATTTTTTTTCGATGGGGAGCCATATTAAGTATGCAGCAAAGTTAAATATATGTATTTTTTTTTTTATCCCCCCCCCCCCCCAAAAAAAAAATAACTCTCCACAGTGCTGGAACCTTGCCTGTCACGTTCCGATGCTTAGAGGAGAACTTGAAAATTGACAAGAGAGTAACACGTTTCGTCCTCCCTGTCGGGGCCACCATCAACATGGATGGCACGGCGCTCTATGAGGCCGTGGCTGCCATCTTCATCGCTCAGATGAACGGAATTGTTCTCGACTGGGGCCAAATTGTCACTGTCAGGTGAGGCTACTACACTACGCGTGAAGTCAGTAACATTTAGTACCAGTAATTCCCAGTATCAAAACCACATAACTTCCAAAACAAAGTGGTTCCTTTGCCCATCATTTGTCCTCTTCTAACAGTATGACAGCGACCCTGGCTAGTGTTGGAGCAGCCAGTATCCCCAGTGCTGGTCTCGTAACCATGCTGCTCATCCTAACAGCAGTGGGGCTGCCCACTCAGGACATCAGTCTCCTTGTGGCTGTCGACTGGCTCCTGTGAGTAAAACGCCTGAAATCATATTATACAGGAGTCATTGTCAATTTTTTTGCTTATCGAGCCCAGTCAAGAACTCGTCTTTCACACCACACTTGCTGTTTATCGAATAGTCAGTCTGTTTACTTTTCCAGTTTACTGCTGATGCACCGAATGCAGAAGTTTCAAACGACACTAAACAAAAGTTGTCAATTCCCAAAAGACATCATTAAAATCTATGTCATCATCCTCAAAAAAGGTGGAACAGAAAAAGTTTTATACATACTTCACGATTATGGCTTCAGGAACACGCAATTGATTTTTCAAATTGATTCATGGCATATTTTTGGGTAGAGGTTCATTTCTATTTTCATGGAATGAACATGTTTGGAGTGAATCATACCCTTTTGTCATGTTAAAGCAAGGCCTTTTGAACAAGGGGCAGGATGTCATTTTCACAGTTTCCAGACAATTATCTGTATCTCTAAAAAACACACAGATGCAGCACTTGTCAACGGAAGTAATTGAAACGCCTTTGAAATCATTCAAAATTAGTTTAGCCATCGAGGCCTCGTTCATATTTGTACTGATTTCAGTTATCTTTTTACCACATCAACAATAAGTTCCAGTATTATTAATTCACGTTGTGTTTCTGCTGCATCTATTCACAAACTTGTACTTTCGGTCCCAAATACTTGTAACATAGCGCTACTGTAGAAGTTGCACCAGTCTGTTTGTTGATCTCATGGTCCATTTCAGCCCTCACTCATGAGCCAGACCAATAGACAGAGCCACTGTCTCTGATTTAGAGTGCTTATTCTCATCACATTCTGCTGTCATCTGCCCCTGTAAACTTTAAAGGTCACCGCTCAATAAAGCATCAGCACCATATAATCTGTAAAAAGCGGTGGTGAGATCCTCAGGCCACCCAACTGGACTCGCTGCACACATCTCGGTTGCAACGAGAAATGGTGTCCATGGGAGGAAAAAAAAAAAAAACAGAAAAAAACAACAGAAAACAAAAAAAAAAGGCAGCTTTGGTGGAATCTGCTTCTACTGTAAAACGTGTGCACAGACAGAATGATATGGAGTCGTGTGCCTCTACTCCTGGTGCACTTTTTATGAATCACTGTGAGGCATACGGTCAAATCCCTTTTGCAAAGCCCATGTGGAAATAGTTGTAGAAACCTCCATGCAACGTTCAGTATCACAGTCAGGGTAGAGAGCTGGTGCAGTGCTCCACAACGGGAATGCAAACCACTGCACACTTGTTTTTATTAGAGGCTTCGCTATGAGCCTTACTGTTCTTTCCAGTGGTATTATAGTTCTGGGTTTTTATAAACCTCAAGAATTTCACTTGTTGGAAATCAAATGAAAAATAAACTTTATCATGTGTTGGCTGTGTCATTTGTTTTCTCTTTCTCTTTCCTCTTTCTCTCTCTAACTGGGTTGTCTTCCCTCCTTTTGACATGCAGGGATCGCTTCCGTACCTCCGTCAATGTGATTGGCGACTCGTACGGAGCCGGTATTGTATACCATCTCTCCAAAGATGAGCTTGACTCCTTCGATGCCCAACAATCCCGGATGGAGGACTTTGAGATGACTAAAACCAAATCTTTCTTTGAAAATAACACCAACCAGAATGTGTATGCTCACCACAATTCAATCCTGATAGACGACTGCAAGGTACATTTCACGTTAACGGATATAGAGACTTGTATGTAGACGATTCGCCCCTGCTCTCTCTTTATTTTCGTCATGTCTATGTTACGGACTTCCTTTATTGGTGTATGTGTAAATGTCTTGTCTTGTGAGGAAAATGTTGGTAAAGCTAAAAAAATGATGTTCCCAGATTGACACATTCATCATTTCATCACAGGAAAAAGCAGTTTTTGTGGTACCAGCTTAACCAAAGGCGAAGTTTATTCATCATGAAATGACATTTTTTTCCCCTTTTTTAAACAATGAAAAGAGTTGTGTATCATATCCAGATAGATGGATGTCTGTTGCATTTCTTATGCATCATGTTGTATACTGAGAATGAAATTTGTTTTTGTTATTATATTAATTGGACATGTATTTATGTATTCAAGGCAGCCCCAACCAAACTAGGCTCTAAATTCTCTTCATATTTTCAAGTATAAATGTTTGCCAGTGGTATGACATAAAGACTGCTCTTTCACTCTGATTCATAGAAAAATAATGCATGGGATAAAGAAATGCCCCCTTCAATGACTACCGTCATCCTTTTTAACTAGCAGCAGCAAAACAATTGCTGTTCGTTTACCTTGTGGTGATGTTGCATTTTATATGATGCATTATATGATGCATGATATGTGGCAATCTTATCATTTGGCGTATTAAAATTCGGTTGGGCAGAGAATCCATCAAATACATGGCCAACTCTCCAAAAAAAAACCAAACAAACAAGCATGTTTTGATGTGTTTCTGTTACCATAAAACTAGTACTACTACTATATCGTAACAAGAGTGTTCAAAGACATACTATACACGTGCTGGGAAATCCCATATTAACATCCACCCTGAGGACAATGGCCTGAATGTCAAGAACTTATGGCTTCTCTGCTCCAACCACCAGTGGTTTGTTATAATGGTGCCTTGGGCCCTTAGTTAGAAACTGTTGATAATTGCTTTCAGGTCACCATGGGCAAAAATGGCAAGACTGCAGGATTCTGTCTTGTTGAAGAGGAACCTTGGAAATGCGAGTAAAGCAGGCCCAGGAGCTGCTGCGCCTTACCCTGAGTAAAACTTTTACCTTCTGATGACAAATCGATTAAAATGACACTCAGACAACGTGAACCGCAGAGACTGTACAGGAGAATCATCTTCAAGTTGCCCTTTTAAATTCTTTTTTCCAGTTATCCATCTAGGTAGCTTCACATCACCTCAGATCGATTGTGTGTGTATTTGCAAAAACCAAACGCGAGTTCCAATAACGTGGTTGAAAAGCCTCAGGGCCTTACTTGGTGCTGCTGCAAACGTCATGTTTCGGCTATTACGGACTTCTTCACCTTTTTGTAACATCTCATTTCACTTTTGTATTTAATATCTTTGTGGTGCATCGAGAGCCGATGATATAAATCAAGCGAGAGCAGAGCATTGGGCTGATGCACATCTTAGGGTCAGTGCTTTTGATTTTTTTTTAACCCCTGAATGTTGCTTATTCTCAATAATGGGTGGCTGCTCCAATCAAGGCTTTTGAATTTAGATTTGGATTAACCCTTTCAGGGACAGCGGTTACGACAGTGGACAGTTTATCATGTTATCAGGTTACAGGTTATCATTATTGGTGCATGAACGGGTTAATTTGACTGTCACTTAAAATGCAAATATGCATGGTCAATGAGCACATAAGGCACAAAGAAAAAGCGGCTCTCTGGGCGATATTGTGATTCAAATACAGGTGGGTCCAATACCTTTTACTTTTTGACTAATGGGCTTACACCCTGATGTCGCACACACAGTCAAGCCTAAGCCGAAAGCTTATGTCTTAGACCATAAAGCGGAAAAGGTGCGGCCTCTAATTCTGGCAACAGCCAGTGCGTGATGTGTTGTTGTAAAACAAGCATATGAGGGTGCCCTCCAAGTTACTGTCATTGTGTTTTTGTGAATATTTTTGTAACGTTTGAACACTGAATTTTTTGGGGAATAGTTACAGAATAAGACTGGAACATATTTGGTCATACAGTATGCGCTGTTTCTAAGTGCAAACGGGAAAGATAAGCATGGCAAATAAAATGGGAGTCAGTAAAGATGAAAAAAGGAGAAATGGCTCTTACACTATTCAAGCCAGTGCATTGTTTTATGTTTCTCATTTCTTTTCCACATTCTTTTTTGGTTGTGTGTTCAATATTTTACTTGCCTTGAAGAAATCAGCTGCATAGTGCAGTAAGCATGTTGTTTCAATACAAGTTAATCTGGGATTCCCATGAATTCAGGGAATTATTGGTATCTATCTTGATGGCAGAATGAGGATGGTTGGGCCCTCCTCATCTGCACAACTGAGTTAGAGCCATTTGGTTTTCCTCCCGTGACGACATATCTTACTTGGTTTGGTCCTGTTTGTTTATTGCGTGCACAAATGATTTGGTCTCCCACATTTAATTGTATCAAGAAAGCAATAGCTCATGTAAAAAGATTATTGCTTAAAGTGCCTCCTTGCACTTTGTGTCTAGTCCATGTCCTCTATTTATAGATAAATGCATGCGTAAAACTTGTTTAGAGCTTTTGTCAGTGTTTTGCATGGCTTTTGCTATGCTTTGTATAATTACTTACAAACCGTAGATGTATGTTTAATAAACTTCACTATGGGCTTTGTTTTTTTTTTGGGGGGGGGGCGGATAGTTTGTGAACTTTTATTTTCATTAAAATAATTTCACTTTGTATTTCTAAATAACTACTGAACTCCAAATCATGATCAAGGAGACGGACCCTGATTATTACATGAATTGTGTACTTTTTTGATTGTATATTTGGTTGTTTCAAGGCTACGAGCAAGGTGAAAAAAAAAACTTTGCAAGTTGGAAAACGTTGGTGGCAGCTAAGTGTCTGCATGTAGTGAGACCAAAGTAAGCTGTTCAGCATGCAGTACAGACTCATACTAGTTGATGAGAAGGGCTACATTCGTCCTTTGAGTGTGCAATTTGTTGTCATTTCTGTAAATGTGGTGGGTACCAGAAAACCTCAACTGCATGCACCACAGCTGTTTGCCACCTTTTGGGGCTATCGACTGCACTGTACATAGGTACACAGCATTATGTTGTTGGTGGATAGACAACAGGAATGGGAAGAACACAATACCCCTATGTGTGTGTGTGTATGCGTGTGTGCGTGTGCGTGTGTGTGTGTGTGTGTGTGTGTGTTGTATTAAATGTCTGTCGAGTCCACCACTCAGTAAAAACATTGAACAGATCAGGGTTTTCTATTCTAAAACAAAGTGTGACATGCCGAACTGAAATGTACTGCTTTCAGGAAAATATGGCTATTGTTATGATACACTTTAGGAAAATGGGGGAAACCTGTCTTAATTATGACTGATGAAATACCTGTACATTAGCTCTGAATCTAAAACTTTGATATATATATATCCTCATATCTTTTCCTGATGTGACCAAAAATGTTCTTGGTCAACTGATTTAATTTCTTTCTTCTTTTTAATGAAAATGTGAAATCGTTAGTAAAGTCAGCATATATTTTGTATTTCTTCTTGTTTTTTTTTGGGGGGGGGGTGCGGGGGGTCTAACATCGATTGTAATATAGTTTGACTGAGACTCTCCAAATCCACATGCATGATAAAAAACTGCAGGGCAGACTCTTTGTCAGGCAAAAAATATATATATGTATCAAAAGTGTGTATAATGTTTTAATATGTGTTTGAAAATATCAAATGATACAAATAAATTATTGATGAGTTGTTGGTGGGCTTATTTCACAAAGCTTGTTTCATATGATACAGAATAGCAACATCCGAAAAGCTATTAAAACAAAAAAGTATATTCATTTCTTTCATAACTGATTACTTGGGGAGGTCAACAGAACAGCATCTCATAAATTACTCATATATATACAATAATTACAAAAATGTACAAATATAATGTCATAAAAACCTAATTACAAAGTACACTCTGATCAAAGATTGGCTTTTTCAAAAAAATCCTATACAAAGACAAATAATTAACATTCCTTTGAATATTCCTCAGAAATATGTGGCGGGATGGAAGAAACACATTTAACGGGTTCATTTACCAGATTTCAGTGGTTAAAAAAAAAAGAGTTGATGGTGCTAAGTAATTAGAAATAAGGACTGACAAGTATTCATGAATGGCACCAGGGCGACAAATATGTCTCGGAATATAAAATTGCAAGAATGTTCAGAATCTTTTTCGTCCAGCATCTCAGGTGGCATGGCGGCACCTTCTTGAAATAAAATGGTTGTCTCAGTCTGAATATTTCTCTGGAAGCTCATCCAACGGTATAACCGTGTACTCCACCACCTTTCCGTTTTCCCTGGGTGTATCTTTTTGCAGGAACGATTCGTTCTCTGTGTTCTGCTGCTGTGAGGAGTCAACTCCGGTTTGTGGACTCGATGCTTGCCTGGGACCGTTCCACCTAAAGAGAAGGAACGGTTCATATTATACTCGCTCCGAGATTAAGATTTGAAAATTAACTCTCAAGATGTGGAAAAAGCTCACTTGTCTCTTGTAGCGATAGCGGCACAAAGCATCACGAGTGCTGCCACGCCAACAACGAAACCCAAGATGATGACCCAATCTGATGATGGGAGAGAGCTGGACTTAATGAAATGTATTTTTCAAAAAAGTCTCGTAGAATATGGAGGAATTTAGATTTGTTGGACAGTTACCTGGTGTCACATGCCCTTTGTGTTGCTCTGTTTTCGCAGAATCATCAGTCTCTGGTACATGGTAAAATTCACCACCTAAGAAAAGAAAAAAAAAACCGTCACCCGTTTGTCAAGTTAATGTTACCGTATTATGGATCTATGAAGGATGTTTACCTTGTACAGATGGAAATTCAAACATTCTGGGTTTTCCTTTATCCTTTGGCATTCCAAATCCTGATCCGGACTCCAAATCTTCATCTTCTGGATCCTCCCGTCCGATGGTACTGAAACTTCCAGTATAGGTCTTACTGGCTTTTGTCGTGGGATAGTGGTCGAGGATCTCGCCATTCCCGGACCCTGAATAAAAACTCTCAGGATCATCAGTTTGAGAGGGCACAGTGGGCTCTGTGATGTGACTTGACTGGGTTGCATTTGACTCTGATGAGGACGGCCAGTCAGAGGTAGGACTTAAGGTGGTCGATGAGTTGGAACTTGACAAGTTTCTTTCACTTGTGGTTGAATAATCTTCATCCCTGGGCTGGAAGAGCGTGTCACCTGATGCGCTGCCTTCTTCTATGATCTCCACCAACGGAGATTGATTACGACTTTCTTCTCTGCCAGAGGATGTTTGGTTGGACTGTTGAATGGGGGAGTTTTTTTGAAGCGGTTCGGATTTGAGTGACGGAGGTAAAAATTGTTCAACAAGGAAGCCATCCGTCATAGCCTCTCGGAGAACGTCTTCCTCAGATTTGATGGGAATTTGGGTCGCAGCTGGGAGAAAGAGATGGAAAAATACAAGGATCACCACAAATATTTACCGACCAGACTTGACATGGAAAGTTTTTTTTTTTTCCTTTGAAGTCATCTCTGACCTCAAGGGTTTTGCATGCGGAGCCTGAAATGCTTGTATTAACTTGTGTTGTCTCACTTTGTTAAGGTGTGACAGTAATGATTAACCTGAGTGATTACTCATATGTGAGTGGGGTGAGAGGAAGTTTCAGTGGAGCTTCAGTCTATCACTCGTTTGGCACACCCAAGGGAACGTAACTCAAGTCGCGAAGGGGATGAAAAAAACACAACTTGGGATTAATGAACCATGTCATTTTATAATGAACTATAGATCAATTTTATGGGAAACTTGTAATATTAAATCTCTGTCCCTGTTTATTCCCTTATTCATTTCTACCGTCTCCTATGAGGTTACAAGGAGCACAAACGTGTCCATTACCTGTTTGCTCTCTTCAATTTCACCTTTTCGAGACCAATAACGATTTGATGTTATTTTGCAAAGGCCTTGGTGGGCCGCCAGAGCTACGAGTGAAACCTGCACTGCGAGAGTGAAACATGACACTTGAGCTTTTGGAAAAAGATTAAAGAGCACGCTGGGTGGTAGGAATGTATGTGCTGACTCATTGGGGAAGAAAAAACACACCATGGGAATGACAAGGATGTAATCACTTAATCGACTCCATATGTGCCGAAAAAGATATCTGAAGATGAATGTGACATCTATCAAATATTGATCGTGTGCGCTTGATGTATACAACAGCAACAGTATGTAACACCATGAAAATTAATCTATTTTGAAGTGATTAATTCGACTCATACTTCCAGTTAGAAAAATGTTATACTTAAAACAACAACTCAAATAATAATAGCCTATTTAAGAACAGAACTGCACTTACAATTCACCGGGGTGGAATAGACCATGGCCCAAAGTCCAAGAAAAATCCCCAAAAGAAGATGAGTCGACATCCTTTTATCAAAGAGTCCTAATCGAGTTTATGTTCAATGCCGCTGAAACTTTGTGCACCTTGTGAGACGAGGCGTTCAATCTGATGATTCACAACTTGGCCCTTTTATATGGCCCGGTTTGTGTTGCATGAATACATCATTGAGTAACAACACAAAGACACAAGGGCTTGAACACCTGTGAACACACCCTCTTCCTCAGAAATCGTCCGTGCTCATTTCCTCCTTGTAACGCAGAGCACTCTGAAACTTTGTGGCTATGATTTGCTGTGGTGTAGAATTGCCCCTTATCATACAAATAGGTGTTTCAAATGTTTTAGTTTTCTCATGAGGGACAAATATTATTTAAAAAGTGTCATTCCAAATGGGGTATTATTACATGAAGAATGATGGACTTTTTATTTCACTAAAATCTCTTCCGAGGATTTCATGCCCCAACAGTGGTGGTTTTGGACACTGAATCTGGACCTCCGTCCTGACCCCCTTCCATACAAAGATTATACAGTCGTGCTATTATTATAATTGTGAAATAGCTCTGACGCAAAAGGTGAGACTAATGTGGATGACTCAACATTCTAGCAGTTGAATCTATCTTACTTTGTATGCAGGGCTCAACAGACAGCAAAGCATATTTCACAATGCAAGTTTTTGTGAACAACTCATGGAAGAAAAAAAAAACAACCCACAAAAACCACTCATCAACACTCTGACACTACTGGCGTGACACATTATGTATAAATAAAAACTTCATTAAAATAAGGCAGTTACACTTCATGATTATTTAATGCGCTGTACCATTAAAAATGACAAGTTATATCAAGTTTTGTTGAAACACAACACTCGCTTGAAGTTACCAAGCATCCGACAAGAGGCAGCCAGGACTAGCAAGGAACAGTATTGGATAGTTACAAGCTAAGACTTTAGGTCAAGAAATTTTGTTGGCCAACTTTGAAAATTGTAATAGCTGCCTGCTAAATCAAGCAAGTGCACAACAGTAACCCATTATACATTCATCCATTTTCTAATCCGCTTGTCCTCACGAGGGTCGCGGGTGTGCTGGAGCCTATCCCGACTTTCTTCGGGGAGTAGGCAGGGTACATCCCCAATTGGTTGCCAGCCAATCGCAGGGCACACAGAGACGATGTGAACAATCACAATCACACCTCGGGACAATTTAGAGTGTTCCATTAACCTGCCATGCATGTATTTGGAATGTGGGAGGAAACCAGAGAACCCGGAGAAAACCCACGCTGGCAAGGGGAGAACATGCAAACTCCACACAGGAATGCCAGAGCTGGAACCTAACTCTACACCTTTACACTGTGAGCTGGATGTACTAACCAGTTGACGATCATGCCGCCTGTAATTCATTTTAATAAAAGCTATTTATTTATATAATGGGCTCCTGAAATGTATAGTCAGTCCTCTCCTTTGTAGTAACATCGCAGGATGGTCCAGTGTTTGTGGGTGCTCATTTGTTACCGTATTTTCTGTTTGTCTCACACTCTGCCTGTACCTTCAACCGTCTCTTATTCGTGCTCGGTGTTCTCCCTGAAAACCAATGTCAATCAAGTCTTCTGTTTCTGCGGGGCTCTCAGCATACTTCTCTTTAGGTCTTTCAACACCATTTTCTTCCTCTGTGTCAATGTCTCCCTCATTATTATTCGTCTTTACGATACAGAAATTGGACGTTATGTGCTATTTTATATTTTTGTGCTATAGACAATGGAGCGTAATACCCGACATTTCAGAAGCCCAGTTCATAGCCGCTTGATCTAGCGCAGTGGTTCTTAACCTTTTTAGAGGTACTGAACCCAAGCAGTTAATATGCACATTTACCGAACCCTTCATGAGTGAAAATAAATATGTATATTTTTTACAAATTCAAGATATTAAAAAAAATGCATTTATTCAAAATAGAAAAAAGTATATAACATTTCAAGAGATAAGTATACTTTTTTTTTAAATTGTACGACGTACAATGACAGTCACACGTTGATTACTAAGCGAACTAAATTTCCCACAGCACTGATTGGACAAGCAATGTCATGTGATCATCTACAGCTAATGATGGCCAAGCGGGTGTGTCATAACACATTAACATGTTGAGTCACATGTGTTTTACCCTCCATGCAGAGGCTCCGTCGAACCCCTGAGACAGACTCACCGAATCCCTCGGGTTCGATCTAACACAGGTTCAGAACCACTGGTCTAGTGGCATGATAAAGTTAACTAACAGGAGCTAGAATTGGGTTGAATGTGCTCCTGTGACAAAACCAGTGGGGCCAGCCTGAGAAACAACAACCCACATTATCACTGTAGGTTAACAAATATAGCAGGAATATTTCTGTTTGTATACATTTGTATTATAATTGCAATTTTAATAGTGAAACCGGAGAGAAAAACATGTTAGGCTATCTCATTAAACAAGTACATGGGGGGAGGAAACACATTATTAATACAAAACAATAGGTGGCCAAATGAAGAGGGCTCCAGTTAAATTCCGACACACAACACTTCATGAAACAACAAACATTTCTCATCAGTTATTTCCTTATTGTTGCCATCGTTCAGGGGATTTTTTTTTTTTTTTTTTTTGCCAGAGAGGAAGTTCCCCACATGATTTTAAAGACTGGTGTGATTTTGTTCCACAGGCACTTTGTATTAGGTGAATCGCAGTAAGTTAGTGTGGTTTAATGGTGACTGATGCACAAGGTGGGCACCCTTGGGCTGTTAGGCGTAATCAACAACTGGCAACGTTTGTTTGAATTGCTCAACATGCGTGGGCGAGCACTTGTCCAGTCTTGCAATGCAACAAGGTTTCACTGAGTAACTTTGAATGGTGAAACATAATATATCAACTAGAACATTCTCATGAAAACATATACACGAAAAGTCACACGTATTGAACAAAGATGTTGTCAAAGACTGTATACAAAAATTACATCGCCCGTTCGTCCAGCCAGCCAGCAAGCTAGCTACAATACCCACAATTTAAATGCTACCCATGACACAAGAAACTTGAAAAAAAAACTGTTAAGGAAGTGTTACTATGTAAATTACAAAAAAAAAGAAAAAAAAAGGGAACCCTATCGAGAGCATAGTGTGATCATGACATGACTTGACGTTTTGCTCATTCAATTTACTAACGAAGAATGAGCCTGTTTTTATGTGTGTTAGTTTTTTCTTCACTTTCATTTAACACTGCATTGAAATGCAATGTCCTTTCAGTGTCAGATTATGAGACTGATGTTGCGACAGAATTTCACTGTATTAGGTTCGATGCCCACATCAGTTTAGTGAAAATGTCAACAATTTTCTTGTTATATAGTAAATAAGTATATGTAATAATTTTGTTGGGGTTATTTAGTTATAACTGATCACCTTGTAAAGGCCATTACTTGTTGCCTAAACAGTAAGGGTGACCACTACAATGGTATTGCCTGTGCAAAATGACAACAGCATACAGTTTTGAGAATTCCGAACTGCCAATTTTAGTGCAAAACAGTACAATCATGTTGGGTATGCATGTCCATCTCTTTAGCCTCATAACTTCACTTCTGCTTCCAGTTCTGCTTTGTGTTGGTCCACTGTGAGTCCAAACACCCACAAAGTACCCACTGTCCAAAATATTTCCTCTGGTATGTCATAAAAGGTTACAAGGGCAGTCATAAATGTTTGCGATGAAATCCTTTTGTCGTCAGACTTTGACGATTGTAGGTTTAGCCATAGCAGTCTAAAACCCGCAAAAGGAGAGCCGTTAAGATGCCATATTTTGCCATTGAGTAGAAAACTGTTGGCAACTCTCTACTGATGAAAGAAAAACCTCCAATGATCATTAAAGTAACTTGAAATTGATCAAAAGTAATAACAAATAAAGAATTGCTTCAATATATGTTATGATAATCAGACATTACTTTTTTTTTCTTGGTGGTCCAACAAAATTGTCCTAAAAAGGAAATAATCACTGATGGCTTGGACTAAAATGATGTTACCCTTATTTTAACATTTTATTGCACAACCTTTTGTGGAATCACTGAAGTCAAACGATATCTGTAACTCTCAATGAAACTTTTAGCATGTCTCGACAGGAATGTCTGCCCACTATTTATGAGCAAAGTGCTCTGAGCAAAGTGCTCCAACCTTCTCAGGTTTGAAGTGTTCCTGCTCTAGACAGCTTCTTTCATTGATGTCCAACAGTATTTATATCAGGACTACAGCTTGATGTTTAGTTCTTTGACATTCTTATTTTTCAACCTGTGTGTTTGTGTAATTCTGTTGAATAAATCCATGAACTGCAAGTGTGACCATGCTGGATGGCCTGATAGTCTTTGAGTTGTCTTTGCATACAACACAGGTTCAAGACACTCTGTGCCAGATTTAGCAGAGAAGCCACAGAACATAACTCAGGCTGCTCTCTGTATCACAGCAACAGTTATATTTTCTTGAGACACATGACACAGGCAAAATTATGGTTACGCTTTTTTCAAAAAATGAAAACCCACAACCATCAAAGAAGTAACTTGAAACTGATGAGTTGCTGAAATGCATGTATTGACAAGCCAGCATGCTTTTTGTGTGAGTGTTTTCTTTTTTGTTTTTTGACAAAATTTTACCACCTATTTTATCTGGAAGTTTGCCGGTGGGAATGGACTTATATGATTTTGCTTGTGCCATTAGTACAAAGAAAAGAATACTGCAACTCTGGAAATTTTTCAGTGGGGCAGCCAAGGTGACAGAACGCCTCAGTGAAGGGTGGACAGGGAAGGTATGGTAGCATCCACAGTCAGGGTTTCATGAAATTCACACATATCCAGAACAATACCCATCACAATCATAACCAAAGCAGGCACAAATTCGAATTAAAAAGCAACATTTTACAAATCTTTATTTTCGAGATACTGCCATTTTCTTTCTTTCACTTGTCTCTGCTTATGTTTACTATCCCTTGATCGACTTCAATCGCAAACTAACAGCCAATCACAGTGATTAATTGTCACAGACGGCCGACGGCATTTTGCATGGTACGAGCTATGGCTCATCCTTTCAAATAATATTTAAAAAGCACAATAACACGAAAGTCTCTTAATTCTTCACAGTTGTAAATGATGCTTTTGACTTTTGTTGTTGCTTATATTGTGAGTGTGTGCAACATTGGTATATGAAAGCATTTTATTTAATGCATCTGTGACTGTGGATGGTATGATTAACAATTGTTTTTCAGCCATGTTGTTTTCTTGAATAGAATGAAAGTAATGCTTTTGATTGATGTTGACTGCAAAACTTGAATGTCCTTTACTTAAAACAGATTATTTTAGAGATTTCATTGAGCTCAATTGTGCATTTATTCTTTTATATACACACACGCACACACACACGCACACGCACATGCACTGGAGTCCAAACAATAAGATGCGATTGAAGGTGTTGGGTAAAGCCGCCCTACCCTAGAAAAAAACACACCAGTTTGGAGTTTGCTATTCTCAAGACGCATGCGGACGTGCCAACCAGTCGACACTCTGCCGCCAATAATCGGCTGTAATCAGCTGTAACAAAGCGCTTCGCAGAAATTTTCACACAGAAAAATAAAGCAAAGAACACATTTCATTACATATTGTCAACAATACAATCGTTAACACCCATTTCTAAATACGCCTTGTTGTTTGATGCGGTTGTAGTTGAACGAGGAGAGAATCAAAGTCATTTCATCTGTGGATCAGGCGCGTCATCACAGCGTGCATGACGTCACACACGTCTTCGAGAAAGTTTGAAAGTAAACAAGAAGTCGTGGCGTTCATTGACAAATACTGAGATCGGTTAATAAAAAAGGCAAAGAAGTTGACACCAAAACATAAAATGTATCATTTAGTACAGTGGATTCGAATGAGTTCCACATAACACCTTTTAAAAACTGGGATGCATGCATGACATGTTTTTATCCCATGTACAGTACAAGATAAACGCGTACACCTTAACACCGACCTGCAGGGAGCAGGACTGCGCCATAAGAAACCCAACGCTGTCACAAACACACAAGAAGAAGCCGATACAACGCATGCGCATTACGTACTATTAGTATCATTGTTTTCCCCAACTCGAGCGATTCGAAACTGGTAAGCGTTGCAATTAATATGTTGGCAGAAGAAAGGAAATGAGTTGACGTGCTTTAGCCTTTGTAAAGCAAAGGCGCAGCTGTTTTTACTCCGTATTTATGACATCAAGCAAAGTCACTTAGGTCATCAATTTACCAAAACTTACTTAATAAGAAGCAGTCTTATTATTAAAAACGATTGCCGTGGCAATATTTACTTTTCGCTCCGCGTCTGTTGACGGGATGTCGGCCAGCTGTTGCATGCGTGTTTGCACATATGTTCTCACTGACTTGTTATTAAATGAGACACCAGGACACAATACTTATGTGGTGACATCTTTAGGTGTCGTGGACTTCTATTAAAAAAATATTTCGAAAGGTTGCATGCATCATAGTGCTGTCATTTATTGCCTTCAATGAACATTGCATGCAAGTTGTTGGAACGTGGGTGAACCCGATTACTCGTTGCCACCAGAACTACTCCGACTTCTGATTACGTCGCAAATTTGCATGACTGCACGTGTTCGCATATACTGGTCGACTGCGTAAACATGTTATCGTGACTACATTTGATTTAAAAGACTTAACATTTTTCCCCTGACCTTTTGAAGATAACGGAGATGACTGACTCACAGAGTATATACCACAGAGGCTATTCTAATAAAAATTAAACTGGACCAAGAAAAAGATGAATGATGCAGACCTGTAAACCTTTTCTTGTGCCAAACTCTGCGTCATGTATGGTGTGTGCATGTTGTGGACATTTGGTTTGAATGCTGAGGTGAACTTTTGTACAAACCCAATTCCAATGAAGTTGTGAGGTACTGTTAAACATGAATAAAAACAGAATACAATGAAGTGCAACTATATTACATTTTCAAACGGATACACTTAATTGTTTTTCGCAAATAATCATGAACTTAGATTTTTATGGCTGCAACAACTTCCCCAAAAAGCTGCGACAGGTGGCAAGAGACTGAGAACATTGAAGAATCAAGAATGCTCATCAAACACCTTTTTGGAACATTCTACAGGCAGAGAGGCTAACTGGGAACAAGACGGTGACATTTTTTGGGAATAAAAAGATCTTCCCTAAATTGCAAGCAAAGAAGGGTGAAGTTCACCTCTTTGTGAAAAACCACCTGAGAAAATAGTCGAACAGTTTAAGGACAAGGTTCCTGGATGTACAGTTGCAAGTAAGTTAGGGAATTCATCATCTATGGTACATAATATCATGAAAAAATTTAGAGAATTTGGAGCAATCACTGCATGTAAGGGGGGGGGGACAACATTGGTGATTCATGTTTTTATATCATTCTAACTAGTCACAAATAAAAATGAGTTGCATTTTAAAATGTCAAATTGAATGTTTTCCCACAGCAAATGTCATCTTTGTGTGGCACCAACAATGGCGAACAAGGTGCAGGTCCAGAACCAGCAGAAAAAGAGGTAAATATCATTTGACAGCAAAAACAAGGGATGAAACAAGGAATTTGGGCTTACACGGGCTGGTGTTTTAGTGTGTCACCCTGTGATGGTAACAATTCCTTGAGTTACTGGATGCAATAACTATTTTTCAGCTATGACTACAAAGATAATATATAATAATGGTAATCTAATGTTTCCTCAATGTCGGATGCAGCCCTTGAAAATGAAAAAAAAAACATTAAAAGCAATCAATATACTCATAAATGTTAAGAGATTGTGTGTTAGTCGAGTCCCAACAAATAATTATTCCATTAGAAATCAACAAACTCAAATCATTCAGAATGTATTCTCTTTAAAAAATACCGGTGTATATATATTTGATGAAAGTTGTGCTATTACTGTATTTATTGATCAAATCTGAGGGAATCTGAGAAATAAGAGCTTGGCTACATCTGTTTGTCCATCCATTTCCTATATTGCTTGTCCTGGCATGAGGCGGGGGTCTCAGGCTGGACTGGTCGCCAGCCCATCATAGGCCACAATCATTCGCAATCACATTCACCGTTCGAATTGATTGAATTCGTGTCTTCAATTAGATGAATAAGCGCATTTTTGAAATGTGGGACGAAGCTGGAATACTTCAGAATTGTGAGGTAAGATGCTAACATGCTCAGCCTCCCTGCTGCCAGATGGTGTATTGTGTATGGCCAAATAGTGTGTATGATCAGTTAACTTGAGAGCAGCTGGACTGTTACTGAGAAATGTAAACTAACTGAGCCTCACTCCCCGCGACTCCGAAAGCCACTTTCCCCCATTTGACAAAAACAAAAGAAAAATGTATTCAACTTGGTGTTAGGCTTAAGATCCACAAAGAGCTCACGTGACAGGAGTAAGAGTATTTGTCACGTTGCAAGGTGGTGATGGACCCCAAAAAGCAGGCAGGAGGAAGGAGCAGGGTGTCCTTGAAAGATTGTATTAAAACACAGAGAAAACTAAATCCAAAACAAACAAAGTCCAAAGTATCAAACAAAACACATGACTGAAGATAAAACATAACACTGACCAAAACATGACTGAAACAAACATGACAGCAGCAAACAAACGGCAACAAACATGACAGTAGCAAAGAGCAACAATGACCCGACACTGAGTGTTCGGGCTGGGAGTCCTTTTAAAGCACTATTTACATAATGACCAACAGGTGTGCAGCTGCAGGGAGAGCCCTACAGTGCCACCTGTTGGTCCCAAACCGAATCATGACAGTATTGGGCTGTTGATTTAAACGACGACCACATCTGATCATTCAGTTCTTCACTGGCTCACTAAAATTTTGAGTTACCATATAGAGACTGGGCCCTAATCGTTTGTTTGTGTTGTAGGACAAGGAGCATCCTCGTATGCTTATTCCTGAACTCTGCCGACTCTTCTACCAGCTAGGATGGGTTACTGGGACAGGCGGAGGAATCAGTTTGAGAAGAGGGTTTGTATATAATGAGCTACGTTCTTTTCGCCCCAGTAAGCTTATCAAGAGAGAAAACGAGTGTGACAAAAACAAAACATGCACAGTGGCAAATCGGGCCCATTTACAACATTTTGTCATTTTTTTAAATGAATTTGATGGTATAACTTCCCTTTACAAGTGTCACCTCGACTTCACATTTTTTGTAGCCATTAACAAGCTTCTGGCGTAATTGTCGCTGGATAGTTTTTTTTGTTGTTTTTTTTTTTGTTTTTCCTTTTTCTTGAGCAGTGGGAAATGTAGAGAGGATGAGTGACTGTTTGATGTGAACGCACCATTTTTTTAACAAGCTGGAAAGTTGTTTAAAAACAAGTGGTAGTGGCCCTTCCATGGTCAGACATACTTAAAACCATTTTCACACTGTGGAAGCTACAATGGTGCCATTAAAAAGCATTATCTGATTGGTAGAGTCCAAATTTATTCCGTAGGTCAAACTTAAACCGTCTTCCACGCATACCTTATTTATTGTGCACCCTAAACTGAAGGAACACATAAATCAGTAATGCCTGATAACAAATAACAGAGTGTCTGCAGTTATAATGCAAAAGACTGAGCATAATAACTCTCTCCTGTCATCTCATTTACAGGCCAAGGAAAGGAAAACAAAAAAAAGTTAGTGCTCTAAAATGCATTTTTGTAACCGCGTGTTCTGTTGCTTCCTGTGATTGATCCACTTATTAAAATGGGAAGTCCTGTATTTACCAATAAATAATAAAATAATCATAAATAAAAAAATGCATTACAAATATACATCATGAAAACTGTGTTTCTCACGAGTCAGAACTGTTGACGGCAAATGCGCATGCACCAGGTTACTTTGTGGCTCATGCCCCCACCATCTACATTCCAGAGCTTTTCTGCTTCTACACTTGTGCAGAGGTAATTACAGCTCTGAAGAAATGAACCACTTTTGCCATTAAAAAGTGCCATTAAAAATTCTCATTGTCCAGCTTGACGAAAAGGAAACACGCACGCACGCACACACACACACACACACACACACACACACACACACTCGCACTAACTGTGTTGTTCTTTTGTGTGTGTGCGTCTGTTTGTGTTTTATTTAATCAAAGCTCTGAATTATAAATATGATTTCTCTCTCTCCCATTATCGTGTGCAAAATGTTGTAATAATGTCAAAAAGACATTATCAAATAAAGAAAGGAAACAGGAGAAAAGGAAAAAAAGATATTACCGGTACACAAATTTTTAAAGGCATCTTTGTATTTTGTGTGAATAAAGCGGAGGGATATTGGGGAAAGGAAACATGAATTGTTGTAATGATGTATTTATAATACGGTGTATGTTTTTATTGAGTATCCTATTTTTGTGCTAAGTCACATTTTTGTTTTCCTAGTTTGGCTGGTCCTGCAACTCAACCCCAAAATCCCCATTCCCTAATCGTGTTGACGCCAGCAAACAAGTTCCTGTTGGATTTGAAACTTCCGCTTCTAACGACAGAAAACCTTTTTATTTTTAATTTGAAATGGCTTACCTTAACTAGAATTCCACAACACAACACAACACATGTTCTTATTTTTTTGGAGAGGGTTGGGGGGGTTCTGGAATGGATTAATCGTGTTTCCATTTCACGAGAGAAAATTGATTTGAGATACAGGCGTTTTGAGTTACGAGCATTGTCGCAGAATGAATTAAACCCGAATTTCAAAGTACATCTGTATTTCATCGTGCCGAGCCGTATCTGCTGTGCGCACACAAGTTGTCGACATGGCACCGTCCCGCTTCAGTGAGTTCTGTCTGAAAGGGACAGGCGAATAAATCCCCGCTCTACTTTTAACGCCACTGATGGGCGAATTCACTAGAAAACCAGTGTGTGTGCTGAGTTTTTCACACACCATGAAACACATTTGAAAGGAAGGGCAGCAGTAGCTCACGTTGTGTGAGTGAGGGTTTCAAATTTGACACCCCCTGCGGACCACACGTCTTAAAATGTTGATTACGCGCTGTAATATCTTCAATATTAAAACATGTTTGTTCTGTGACTTACAGAGAACATATCTACATTGCACCTTCTGGGGTCCAGAAAGAGAGAATACAGGTCAGTCGTGATAATAGTGTACTACATAGCCTTGCAAAAGTATTCACTTGAATTTTATTTTTACCCATTTTGTTTCATAACAATCTCTAATTTTAATTATTTTATGTGATAGATCTGCATAAAATAGTTTTTATAATAATTTTTTTTCTCACTAAGTAGCACCCCAAAAATATTCAGTACCATGTACCATGATGACCAACGTTAAAATACAGTGGCATAATAGGCCTAAGTGTTCATTAAAAAAAAAGTTTTAATCCCTAAAATAATAAATAAATAAAATAATGGAAGGAATGCAAGACACTGTAACATGATATAGTTTGAACTATGGCTGCAACTAATAACCATTCTTATAATAATTGATTAATCTGTCAATTATTTTGTGGATTTAATCGACAAACAGGATTACTGTTTGCGCACCCCTGAATTAGAGGCTGTAATTGAACAAAGTGAGTAAAAAGTCAAGGGGTGTGAGTACTGCTGTAAGGTACTGTATGTCATGCTCTGTTTAAATCTTTTTAGTATCAACTGTTGTTGTCCGTGTGTGTGTATACGTTTTAAACAGCCAGAGGACATGTTTGTGTGTGATGTGGAGGAGAGAGACATCAGTTGTCCGCCTGCCTGGAAGAAGTTAAAGAAGAGCCAGTGCACCCCATTGTTTATGAACGCATATACGATGAGAGGTGAAATTGTTTTATCCGTACACTGATATAACAGTTGACCAACAACTGAGCCAAATATTAAATCGATGTCTACAGTAATGCGATGTAAGGAGTAAGCTATTGTGTTCAATGTAAAGTGTAGGGGACTTTTTTGGGGAAGTTTAGTGAACTTTATCCTGTTGTTGATGGTGAGCCGTGCATTAAACACTAGTGTCCTTTATCATGGAAAAATCTCAAACTAAAAATTTGTTCTTGTTTTTGGACAAAAAAAAAACCAAACCAGGGGCACAGGCGGTTATCCATACACACTCCAAAGCTGCTGTCATAGCAACCCTGCTGTATCCTGGTAAGGAATTCAGAATAACACACCAGGAGATGATCAAGGGGATTCGTAAAGGCACCACCGGCACCAACTATCGGTATGAAATCAAGGATTAATCAAACAGTTGGCCTACCGTAGTTCTTATTCATGTCTTAGTGATGTGTAAGCGTGTTCTGCCATGTTCCAGGAAATACAAATTCAATAACAGCACAGCAATCAAGGATGACACCATATGTCTTAGCATGATCTTATTTAAAGTCTTCTGCAAGCATTTAGAGGTTCTTGAACTTTTTGTATTTAGGTCAGCATGCCTCATCTGGAATTGTTGCAGTTGACTAACCATAAACAATACGTTAAGGTGGGGTTCATGTAACTAATTAAGTCATCATTATTACAGGGAATGCTCCAGTATGAATTGGACCAACAGTTATTTGGTTTCCCTGAGAGTAAATATTAGCATTACAGTCAAGAAGGATTCCCTTAAGTACTACGCCACTGCAAAGCACTTTTCTTTCTTTTAGGTGCTATTTTCTTACAATCTAAAGGATGATGATAGTGGCTGTTACGATGTAAGCATGATAAACAGCCCATTTACAAACTGGTGATACGAGGTCAGGGGCAGTGTGTGTTTCTGCGTTTTTTGACGGACAAAAATTTAAAGACATTTTTGTTCTCAGCCGGTGTCAACGATCTAATTCTCTAAGCGCAAACCTGGTTTGATGGATTCACTTGCCTGTGTGACCGCAGTGTGTCAAGCCTTGAGACAATCTTAAGTGGGGTCGAGACTGTTTGCCATCGGACTGATGAATGGTTAAAATGTCTTGCAGCTATGACGACACTCTGGTCGTGCCCATTATCGAAAATACGCCAGAAGAGAAAGACTTGAAAACTCGGATGGCTCAGGCCATGGAGGAGTACCCCAATTCGTGCGCTGTCCTTGTTCGCAGGCACGGAGTGTACGTGTGGGGCGAGTCATGGGAAAAAGCCAAGACCATGTGAGTATTTCCCAATCCGAAATAGAACCGTTGTGAATGTCTTAACGAATACAAATGTTGAAATAATGTTTGTTGCTTCACATTTGTAGGTGTGAATGCTATGACTACTTGTTTGACATTGCTGTTCAGATGAAGCATTGCGGACTGGACCCTTCAGCTTTTCCAGAAGGAGAGAGAGGAATAGTTTGACATTTACAGGCACCTTTCAAAGTGACGCTTGTTCAAGGAAGGTCAGGAAAGTTCAATCAGGAAGCAGATTTTAATCATTTTGCTTTCATGCCAGCGCTCCACAATTTGGACAGTGATTGCCGATTCAGAGTTGAAGGCCTCTTATCCGGAAAGACCTTGAGAGAACGGCTTCAGGCTCTGGGGGTGAAATCTTTATCATTAAAATACATTCAGTTAATATGCAATTGTTGTTTTGTGCCTGTACTTAAACCAAAAAAAAAAAAAAAAACGAGTACATGTGTTCCATAAGATATACGTTTTTTTTTTTTTTTTTTTTTTTTAATTAAAAACAAAAAGTAAACCTTCGCCTAACTGTGTTCTTCACACGAAATGATGTATGTAAAATTGAATGAATATCAGGGGACACCAATTTATTTAAAGACTGATTAACACTACAGTATATGCATAATAAAGACCTGACACCAATTGTTTTGTCTCTCTCAGTTGAGCACTTTCAGGTGAGTGGGTGTTGTGGTGGCATCACGCAGTGCCAGTATACACTTGCACAGCATGTTTCTAATCCTCTGCATACTCCCCTTTTTTTTTTTTTTTTGAAAATGAGAGTTGTCCCTTCAATAAGCTCTCTCTGGTGCCCCGATCCCATTTCCTCCACCACTGTATCTGCTCTAAACAGACTGCAGCCAAATATGTCACAAGCTTATTTAAATTTAAATTGTGAGGATCCTGAAATGTCCCCATCAGTTCTTGCTGATGGGGAATTCTTGTAAACGAATTCACGAAAAAAAAAAAATCAACACTCCCCCATAAATTCAAATGACTTTGTCAAGCCCACAATGTCAAGTAATGTGATATCATGAAAAGACCAAAATGATGAGTTGTCACAGTTTTGTTGACTTTGATATTTTGTTCTTAGTGGGGGACTTGCTGAGGAATTATCTTTCAAAAGCACATGACAATGTTTAAGGGTTGGGGAGTATATATTCCTCAGGCCTGCAGATATTACAAAGTCAAGCTTCTCTAGCACTGATTATGTGCATTTTAATATTAAGACCTAGCAGTTGACATTCATATGTATTGCTTTATTCTTTAACAGTAACAAGATGATGGCGCCCTGGGGTGTAGCGGTTTCTCCGGCTCCCAGGTTTAAACCTCATTACAATGACTTCAGAGCCGATTTTAGTGCCATCTCAATAGCGTCTGAAGTATAGCTCTGAAGGACTCGAGAGAGTTCAACGGCACCTATTTCATCATTGCTGAAAATCCCTGCCGACTGCAGATCCTAACATCCACTGATACCATGACTCTTCCAAACCAGTGTTCGCTCATCGAACAATAAAATAAACTTCCTTTGCCTGAGTTTGGGTGGTTCCAATGAGATGAGGAATTGTTTCGTGCTCTGTTTGATGGAAATCTGGCTAAATGACAACATACCCAACTCAGCCCTCAATATTGATGGACCCCAGCTCTTTCGCGACGACGGTGACGCCCACTCAGGGAAGAAACACGGGATTGGATTCCGCAACAAAGGTTGGTCCAGAAACAGGGGACTTAGAGGGAGTCCTTTGCTCTGAGGAAATAGAGCATTTGACTGGTAGATGCTACCCACAGCACGTATGCCACTGCTCTTTACAGTGGACACTCTCGATTCATAGGCATAGGGATCGCACTCGCCTGTGAATAGCGAAACTCCGTGTAAGGTTGACACCCATTCCAATTTCTTGTTAAAACAGGGATAAACCAATGGCTCCCCCTGCTTAAAGACCACCTCCATTATGCCAGTGCCCAAGACATCAACGGTGACAGGTCTGAATGACTATGGGTCAGTGCCCTCACTCCGATAGCCAAGTAGTGCTTTCAGAAGCTGATCATGGTGCAGATCAAGAACGCACATCAACATCCATAATGGACCCACATTAATATTCCTAGAGGAAGAACAGCTCCATTGAAGATGCCATCTGATCTTATGGTCCACACCGTCTTCACCTACCTGGAAAGCAGGGAATCCTACGTCCGCCTGCTCTTCCTGGAGCTCTCCTCTGACTTCAACACCAACAGACCATAGACTGTCAGGACCTACAACACCTCTCGCATCACCCTCAGCTCCTGCCCCCGCCAAGGCTATGTACTGAACCCCCCTCCGGTTCCCACTCCTGACCTATGACTGCTCTGTGAAATTCCCTAGCTGTCACATAGTGAAGTTTGCGGACTACGTAGCAGTAATGCTACGCATCACGAACAAAGATTAGTTTAAGTACAGAGAGGAGGTAGAACATCTGGGGGATTGACCCAAAGATGACCTTTGCATCAATCCGAATAAGACCAAGAAGATGGTGGTGGACTTCAAGAACAGAAACCCAGATGCTTTATAGTCACTTCAGTTACTGACTGCGTTTCTTTACTTTCCTCCATAAGTGTGCCTTTTTGTCTCTGAGAGCTTTAAATAATTAAAATGATAACATTTGGATCACCTTTTACTAAAAAGACGGAGATATTCAAATTAATTGAAATCCATCTATCCCTCTTCTGAACCGCTCATCCTCACAAGGGTCGCGGGCGTGCTGGAGCCTTTCCCAGCTGACTTCGGGCAAAAGGTGGGGTACACCCCGGAACTGAACAACCATTCAGACTCAAAATCACACAGAGGGACAATATAGAGTCCGCTTAACCTACCATGCATGTTTTTAACAAGCATTCACACTCACAATAATACCAGTAAAACAATTGGAGGATTCAATTCACATTAGTCTTTGGAATTTTGGAGGCTTATCAGAGTTTGTGTGATTTAGTTTGTGCAATTAAAAGGAACTCATGCTTCAGTGAACAAATGACTGCAACTCGCCATTAGCATGGATGCGTATGCATTTTTAACCAGATGAAATTGCCCTGTTCAGCATCAAGGAGTAAAGGAGATTTTAGAATGGTCATAAGTGCGCTGTGCCGCGATTGCAAAATATACATTAAAGAATAATTATATGTTCAGATCCAGCAAAAAGTTTGTGAATTCATGAGTCAACTCATTTCTGTTTTCTCAAGCAAACTAAATGAGGCCCTTCAGCCTTCAGTGAGGCAACCTGAAATGACTCTCTTCAGGTTTGCACTCCATGTGAACTCCCTCAAAAAGCTTATTTGTGTTGTGTTGTGTTGTATTTTTTTCAAACATTTTCAACTCCTTTTTTGTGGGGACTTATCAGTTTGTGGACATACCATGAGCACTGCAGACATTCTTATTTTCCTATTAGGCTTATTTCAATTCAGGTAAGGGGTAGGGGTGTGTAAGTGTGAAGTGGTTCCACTCAACCCATAATTATTCTCTTCCAGTCACATTGACGTGTTTGGCACTGATACCCCAAGAGAAAAGGAACCCTCAGTGCTGCATCGTGTTCTTTGAGATATTGATTGAAGTGTAAACGAGTTTATGATTTTAGGCTGAGTAAAAGGCTTGATCCCTTTCCTGGTTACAAATGTTACTACGTTTACATGCAGTCCATGTTTGATTTGAGGTCAAAATTCCGATTTACGAAGCATTCGAAATAAGCTTTTTACATGAATGAGTGGACAGAGTTAGTCCCACATTTGAATAACCCAACTTAAAACGGTGACGCATGGACACAGCCATGTAAAATCGATGTAATTTCCGCTTCTTAGTTTTTACCATAAATAAAGCACATTGTATTCATGTCACTCACCACAGGAATAAAGAAAGGCTGTTTTTTTCCTCGCTTCAAAATTGTGCTTTTGAGCAGCGTCTTCAAGCTTCGCCATCACTGTTTACCTCTGCTTGTGTAATTCCGGCGAGTTGCGCACTGGTTGTACGGATTTATACCCATGTATATATCTGTTTGTATGTACAACGTGAGATTCCATTCAGATTAAGCAAACGCATGCACAGAACACAAACCAATGCCTCATAACTCAATTTTCATGTTAAAAGAAAACGGGTCTTGTTCGGCTTTTTAAAAATTGACGTTGTAATCAGCACTGATAGCATGAAGGAGGCGAAGTGGGGGAATATCACGGTATTGGAAAAATCCATCAATTCCTATATGTGACTATAGATTACCTGTATTGATTCAAGTATTTGTTGGCTACTCTCACCACTTCGATTTAGGGAATTATTAGGTCACCTTTTGTTTACTAACCAAACCAAAGTGACGACTTGAGCCAAAGGCTGAAAGCTTACAATAGCAGTAGCCTACTTGTCAGGTCGAATTTATAGCACTACTCTGCGGCGCACACTGCTTCTACAGGTTTCACCTCCACGCGCTTGATGTATCGTTTGCTTGCATTTGCTCCTGTCCTCTGCAAGCAGAAATGGTTTGATGTCTGCCAACTTCCAATGTGAATCAGCCTCTTATGCATGCTTATCACACTAGCTGCAGCACTTTGCTCTAGGCCTTCTTCCTTTAATCCTTTCACCCAGACCATACTTTGTTTTCTTGGTTGCACTGACTTTGCTGATTGAAATGTTAAAGGAAAAATGCGGGACAGCGGAAGATGGAGAGAGAAGCTCTGTCAACACATCCCCAGAATAGCAGTGCACTGCAGTGCACTCCCGCGTTCAATCACTTTTCTTTAAACGTATGAAATGTACGCAGTTTGCCGTCAGATATCTGAGAAAAAAAAAAACAACAACAACAAAAGCAAGCCAACCTAAATAAACAAATGTTTCTTTGGTGTTATTGCTTCTTTTCAGACAACCATATGTTTGTGAAAACGTAATCCTCTGAATTCAAACAAGGATACTAGCTGTTCGGTGGGTGGCCTGTTCTCATAGCCTAGCAGTTAGCACGCTCAACCGCCAACATGTGAAATGGTGTTTGGATCACAACAGTTAGACTGGTGGCCAGTGATCTGGAATGAGAGTGAGGTTTTATGCTTCACTTTAGACTGTGTAGTATCGCTCCGAATTTTCTTTGAAGATTTCGCCCCTTTAGCCAGTTTGATTGATCAACAATCCTTCCCGCATACAAACACGTTGAACATGCACGAGCGGTGTGTCACATTCTGTCTGAAGTAGCGTATGGGCGGATTCCACACGCAAGACAGACTGGGCGTGTTTCTGTCAGCCGTCAGAGAAATGGGCCATCTGCAGGTACTTGACCCAGTGAAGGACGATATAAGGGACGGGCGAAAACTCACTTCTGTCCTTTTGTAGTCCGCCCTTTTTAAATAACTTCTCGTCCTCCGCCCTCAAAATGGGCATCTGTCAAAATACACCAACTAGGGTTGAAACCCATGACCTTCTTGCTGTGAGCATCTGAAAGTACTGACTCTCTAACATAGGAAAGGGGAAGGGGGCTGCAATTTTTCATCAGTTAGTGGTGCTCCACATAGGACTGCAGACCAGATGAATGACAAAAATGCCATTTTCATGGCAAAATATGAGTATTCTTATTTTTTCAGTTTTTTTTTTTTTTTTTTTCAATTGAACCGTTGTTGATGTATTACAATTCTCAAATACATGAA